AGTGAGGTCCAAGAACACTTATCCTAACTCTGGATCCTATGTAGAAGAGGAAGCAGGCACCATTTCAGAGGGCTGCAGGGTTTTTGTTACAGCACATTGAAGTGAACATTCACAGATGAGGCTCAGGGTATTGGAGATTTTGTTGATGATTGATTTTTGAGTTCAAAAGGGCACAATAGAAATGTTTTAAATGATGAAGGATAGGAGATGAGATAAGAAAATATGATTTATATAACTACATTGGACAGGGGTCCCTAGCCCCCAGGTGCCAGGGTGTCATAGCAGGACATGAGAGCAGCTGGCAATTGAGCTTCTAAGCTTCATCCATATTCACAGCCACTCCCCATCGCTCCATTCCTGCCTGAGCCTCCACCTCCTATCAGATGAGCAGCTGTAATAGATTCTCATGGGAGCCCCCAGATGGTACTGTCTAGTTGCAGGAAAACAAGGTCAGGGTTGCCACTGATTTTTGCAATATGGTAAGTTGTATGGCTATTTCATTATACATTACAATGTAATAATAATTAAAGTACACAGTAAGTGTAATGAACTTGAATCATTCTCAAATCCTCCTGCCTCTCCTGGTCTGTGGAAAAATTGCATTCCATGATACTAGTCCCTGATGCCAAAAACTTGGGGGACTGCTGACACAGGGAATAGAATTCAGAGCATGAAGCATGGATATCTTGTAGGGACTGATTATAGCAGGAAAAAAAGGAGCACGATGAGGTTAGTCCTGGTGGCCCTGAGGCAGCGAGTGCAAAGGTGAGTGAGGATGCTGAGGGAAATGACAGGCCTCTTGCCAAACACGCACAGATTTCGGAGACTCCCACTTCACTCCCGTTGGCATCATCTGACCTCATGCTCCTTTCTAATCTCATAACCTCTCTCCTTTCCTCTCTTTAGTCATTGCAGCTCCTTAATGTTTCTCAAATACTCCAGCATGTGCTTATCTCATTGCCTTTGCGTTTGCTGTCACTGTCTGCTCTCCTCTTTCCCAAGATGTCTGTTTGACTTGTTCCTTTACTTTATTCAGGTTTCTGTTCAGATATCACCTGAAAATATCTAACAGGCAACGTCTCCTACCATCCTAGTCTGTACAATCTCTTCACTTCTTATTACTGTGTTCTCTCACCTTCTAACATTTTTTATTATCTAACATTTTTCATCACTTACCTTACTAATTAGAGATGCCTATTCTAGTTCCTATTACGGGAATGTAAACACCATGATGGAGTTGAAAGTTTGTTTGGTTTATTGTTGTATTGCTACAACCTAGTACAGTATTTGCCATGTTAGAGGTACTCAAAGCATATTTGATGAATGAGTAAGTCAGGTCAGAAACAGCCCTAGCTGGGGTGCTGGACTCCGTGTGGACAACTGCCATTTAAGTCCCAGACTTGGTGGCTTGCTTTCTCATTTTCCCTTTCTCACTTTCTGTCTTTCTCTGAAAAATAGCAATGATAACAAATGGAATTAAATAATAAATAAATAATCCTTAAATTAAAAAAAAAAAAGACTTCGGTCTCCAAAGTCATTAATGAATTTATGAAATAACTATGCTTGTCTCAGTTTATTATTTGCAAAGTGGTTCTGATAGTAGTAGTACTTACTTTTTCTTTCTTCTTATTTGCCAGAGGGCATGTGTGCTTCTACACTAGCTAGAGAGAAGGAAAGTAAGAACATGCTCCCCATAGGGCATAGTCATGGTGCAGCCCATTCTCCATCTCTCCCTCCTTTCAGAATTTGGAGTGTGCATGCACATGTGTCTGGCATGTTTCTCAAGTTGCTGTGTCTAGAACTGAAATTATGCAGTTGGCTGTGTGAGATCCAGCTGCCTTAACCACCGTGCCACCAACTGGCCCGATAGTAGTACTTAATATTATTTTGAAGTGTTATTAGGATTAAATGAGATAATATGAGCAAATATTTTATAGAATATTTAATACAAACTCTTTGAATTGCCCTTTCAGATGTTTTTACACTCTTGAAAACTAGAGTTTATTATTATTATTTTTTTAACCAGGCTTCTGACTCCATTTTTTCTCAGAAACTCAAGTTTCTTGTATGGGACCTTTCAACTTCTTAAGTGCTTATCTGTCCTTTCAGGGCAGTACCCTAGACACTACTTCCTAGACTTCCCTCTTGCCAAACCTTCTCTTTGTCCCTTTTTCTGCAGAAACTGTGCTTAGTTTTCTAGTATATTATTAATGTACCTGTTATAGTAATTTACAATTGAGTATTAGAGCCTGCTAGTGCTATATTATTTCTGCCAGTATTTACATTTAATATAGAGACTATATTCTCCTTAAACTAAAGCAAATGATAGTAAAAACAATATGAAGTGAATACAGTCTACTTTTTTTGTTTCTTTGCATTCCTCAGATCACTTAGTGTAGGTGACTGCCAACTTCATCTGTAAATTAGAGCAGCTCTGATTATGTCTTATCTTTGTTTCCAAGCATGTGGTATGTAACATGAATTTCTCTAGACAGAATCATAGAGGTTTGGAAATCAAAGAGACCTTAGAGATTATTTAGACCAGAGGTTTTCAACTTCTTTTCTTTTTAAAGCAGCAAAACTCTGTCCTCAAATGAAATGTTATGTGGAAAGTTAATATATAGATTAATAAAAGCACAGCTGATTCCTAAGCCTAGGAATCTAAGCCATGCTGGTCTCCCTTTGTTGTCTGGGTCAGTCCCCTGAGGGCACTTCCAAAGAACCCTTAGGGCTCCCTAGAGTGCTGTTTTAAAACCACTAATTTAGACCAACCCTTTCATTTTTCCAGCTGAGGAAATACGCCCAGAGAGTTTGTGTTTTATCCAGTGTAACGGGGTAAATTAGTTGGATTAAGAGCTGTTCGGATGTGTGCCATGGTTAGGGAAACACTATTAGACAAAGATAGACGTTCTTATTTCTGATGCAGGTAATTTTTACCATCTCATTTCTTTTCATCAGCAAACCTGTATTTATACCTATTACATATGGGACACTTGCTATGGCTATACCTCATACAAAGAAATACATGACATAACCCTTTGCCTTAAGAAAATAAATAGGATAGTTGAGAAGGTAAAATATGCATTTGAAAAGCTACACTGAATTTGAAGAAAACTTAAAGACTTGAGATGTAGCAAAGCACTGTGTAATTAACTAAAAATAAATGGTATTAAACTAATTATTACATGATATTAACATTGATATTAAATTATTTATATTATTATAACGTTTACTACATTAAACTCTGTTGGAGATCAGAGGAGGGGAAAGTTACTTCATGTGGGCTAGAGAAATATTTTGTGTTTTTTAATAAAGAAGTATTTATTAAAAAAGAATTTTTTATTGAATTTTATTTATCATTATTATTTTATTTTTATTCCACCAGAGAGAGACAGAAAGGGAAAGTGAGAAAGGAAGCCACCAGGTCCAGGACTTGAACTGTGGTCAGCCATGTTGGGAGTCCAGCACTCCAAACACCACTCCATCTGCCAACCCTAAAAAAGATTTTAAAGAGGAGAAATGACCAAGCTCAATAGGACTTGGCTAAGTAAATAGGTGTAAGGTGATAGGATACTGTGAATGAGAGAAGAGCTTTTTTCAATTTCCAATTCTGGAGGACCTATATATGAAGTGTCTTACTAAGTTCATAGAAAATATGTATTATGAAAAAAATACATAGACTTCCAAAGTTTTTTGCACCAAAATAAACTTGCTCTTTAAAGTCATTTTCTCACAATTTTTTATAATTATTTAATTTAATTTTATTCATTGTTATTGTTTAATTTTTTTATTTTTATTTATTATTTATTTATTTATTTATTTTTTGGGAGAGGTTTTTTTCGCTATAGGGTGCATGCTCTCGCCAGACAGACAGAGAGAGACATAGAGACAGAAAGCGAGAAATCACCCCCTAGGGGCGATGGTCACGCTGCAATCCCTTCTCCTCCATTCTCCTCTCGGGATCTTGGGCACGCATGCACACGTGCCTGGTGTGATTTTTAAGCCACCGGGTCCGGGACATGAACCACGGTCATGTGGCTTGTGGGAGTCCAGTGACATAGCCATTACGCTAACTGCTGGTTCCCTGTCATTGTTTTATTTTACTTTTTTAAAAAGTTGGCCAAAAAGAGGCAGAGAGAGAGAGATAGAGAAAGATAGAGATAGAGAGTGAGAAAGCGAGCTGCCAGGTCCAGGACTGGAACCGTGGTTGGCCATGTGGGAATCCAGCTGCCTTAAGGAACACACCCCCTGCTGGCCCCTCCACAAACTTTTTAAAGTTGCTTCATGTGATATTGGTCAAGTTCTTAGCCTCTTGAGTCTTTCACTTTGAATGCATATTAATTGTGTAACATAAACTTCAAAATATCATTAGTTTATCCCAATATCACAATAGATATATAATATATTTTTCCCTTATATCAATGTCAATGTCAGACAGCTTTCTAAGAGGTTGTTCAGGGACCCAAATTCCTTCTCTTTTGGCTTCTACCTACTTTCTGTTCTTGGAGTTCTCTCCATGTGTTGGCAGTGGGGAAAAAAGAGTGAATTCCACTGAGGAGGTAGTCAGGGATTGGGCTTGAAAATAGTAAACAAATACCCGGTGCCCATTGTCCATTGGCAGAACTCAGTGATAAAGTTGTGCATAGGCACAAAAGATGTAGTTAAGTCATGCACAATTGGGAAGGAAAATATACTTAGTTTTCATATAGAGGTCTCTGCTACCTCACAGAGTAGAGTTATTGGGAATATTGGAGGAAATAATCTGTGATATGATTATCAGTATAGTACATGGCATGTAGAGGTATTTAAATGTCCTTTTTATAGAATAGGGCAAGCTATATAATGCTTTGCTGAGAACAGATAATTCACTACATTTTAGTTAACATGTGTTTTAACCTCCTTTGGGAGAGGTATCAATTTAGTTTTGACTATTGGTGATCATGATAACTGATACTTAAAATGATTCTTCCTGGTGAGTTCCTTGTTTCTTTTTCATTCAGCATGGTGTTATTGCTACAGAAGATGAAGAATATTTTATTGAACCTTTAAAGAATACCACAGAGGATTCTAAGCAATTTAGTTATGAAAATGGCCATCCTCATGTTATTTACAAAAAATCTACCCTTCAACAACAACATCTGTATGATCACTCTCACTGTGGGGTCTCAGGTGAGTGAGTGCAGTGTTTAGAAGGCATGTTGTGTTGTACTGCCACTTTCTCTTTCTTCTGGCAAGTATGAGAAGGTTAATAATAAAAATAAAATGAATTTGAATGAGTAAAATTACCATGGCAAGAGTCCTTCTAAAAGATCTACTGGGACCACCAGGTGACTCCCAGGTTAAAGTGACTGGATTCCACAAGGCTGACTGCATAGTTCAAGTTCTGACACAGTTGTTTGAAAATCTTGTTGGGTGTATGTGCATGTGTGCCCCAAATCCCAATAGAGCATTGAAGGAGATGGGATTGCAACATGGCTGTCCTTTTGTGGGGATGATATCTCTCCTTTCTCTCTCTCTCTCTCCCTCTCTCTCTCACCAGTGAGTGCATTGCCCTCTAGCAAGCTACCCACCCCCCCCCAAAAAAAAAGATATCATCTACCAGTAGTTTTAAGTCAAATTGGAAGCTCTTTGAGTTTTAAAAATGGAAGTCTATGTAAAATTTGAGTTTCTTTCCTTGAAGAGAAAACGCACACTTAATTTTATCTAGGTATTAGTTATAGTTTTCATGCACAGGTGTCCTGTAGTAGTCTGTGATATTTGGTTAGCCTGATGTTTTCATGTTAGTAGCAATAACTCAAACACAGAATTTGGAGAGTTTTTGTTTGTTTGTTTGTTTGTTTTTTAGAGAGATTGCTATAGTGCGCATGGCCTCTCTGGAGAGACAGAGCGAGAAATCACTCCCTAGGAGAGATGGCCATGCTGTAATCCCTTCTCTTCCACCCTCCTCTCAGATTTTGGGCACACACGCACAGGATTTGAAGAGTTTTAAGGCAGAATTCAAAAGTAGTGATAGCACTGAGTTAGGGTACTGTAGAAATACATAGTAGGGGGACCAGCAAATGGCATAATGGTTACATTGCTGGACTCCCATGTAGTCATCTGCAGTTTCAGTCCTGGACCCGGTGGCTTAAAACTCATGCCAGGCGTGTGTGTTACAGCTCAAAATCCTGAGAAGAGAATGGAAGAGAAGGGATTGTGGTATGACCTTCTCCCCTGAGGGGTAATTTCTCACTTTCTGTCTCTCTGTCTCTCCAGTGAGGGCAAGCACCCTATAGCAAAATCTCTCTCAAAAAGGAAAGAAAGAAAGAAAGAAAGAAAGAAAGAAAGAAAGAAAGAAGAAATAGTAGGGACAACAAAGCAGGACTTGAGTGGTCAAAGAAAGTTTCATGAAAGAAATTACTTCTAAGTTGAAGCCTGAGGAAGAAGAGAAAGTAGCTGGCACAAGTAGAAAGAACCATGATGAGAGTGTTCCACAAGAGGAAACAGCATTTACAAAGGTCCCAAGTCAAAAGAGGGAATGTCACATTCCAGACACTGGCTATATGTGTGTATGTATACACATATATAAAATGTGTGTGTGTGTGTATATATGTGTATATATATGTACATATATATATTTAAGAGAGATTTTTGATATAGGGTGTGTGTGCTTGCTGGAGAGACAAAGAGACAGAAAGTGAGAAATCACCTCCCCCTTACCCTGGGAGGGACCTCCATGTTGCCATCCCTTCTCCTCCATTCTCCTCTCAGGATTTTGGGTATGCACACACACATGCCTGGTGTGAGTTTTAAGCCACTGGGTCCAGAACTCAAACTATGGTCAACTACCATTACACCATCTGCTGGACCCTGGCCATTCATATATTACTAACTGGATATTAGAATATGGGTTGGTGGGAGAGAGGTGAGATTCTTGTTTTTAGTCAAATCTTTCTTCTAAATATGACTGTATCACCATCAAAAGCTTCACTAACCTCCTTGTAGTGAGAATACAATAGTAGTTCTCTAAGTGTTGAGAAATGCTGCTAGATGTTATTGGAAAAATAGCATTTAGTGTTTGGGAAATGTCTGACTAAGAACTTAATAGTAGCCCTATTTCAACAGTATAGATAGTGAGAGATGTACATTAATAGGCATATATGGTAGTTAGGCTTTTATCAGGAACTCATGTTTATGTCATACCATAAGGTATAAAGATTCTTCAGAACATGGGTATGTTTATTGCCTACTCATGCTTGAGTTTTCCCATACTAATTAGATTCAAACTATGAGTTAAAAAATGTGTTACTGAAGTTCATTCATCTTGTTTTCCATGAGAGGAGAGAGAGAGAGACTCCTCCTCAGCACATCCTTCATCCCATGGTTTCCCTCTGTCTCAACCAGCAAGGATCATGGGCACACATGCATGCATGTGGAATGCATAGAGAGACATCAGGATGGTGACCCTTAGACCTTCCTATGTGGTCCCTGCATTGTGTAAATACTGTACCACCATAGCTGGCATGAATTTTAAATTTTTGTGTGGAAATAATACTTCTTTTTAGAAAATTAAGAAAATACAAAGAAAAAAAGAAAATGAAAATCAGTGTTATTTTAGTATCCAGAGATAGCTGAATATTCTTCCAGTCCATTGGTAGATATTTTATTTCTCTCTAGTTCACTATTTTGTTTCAGTATTTAATAAATACTCATTCAATATCTATATTTCAGGCTATTCTAGGTGCTGGAGGTGCAATAAATAAAGCAGAAAAGATCTCTGCACTCATGGGGCTTATATCCTAGTCAAGAAAGACAGGCAGTTAATAAATAGCAAACAATTCCCTAGTCACCTGCTAAGAAGTAATAGTGCTATGAAAAACAAATAAAACATGCCAATGAACTAATCATGAATGGCCCTCTCTATTCAAACATTTCAACACTGATCAAAAGTTAAAATCCTATTTCAGATGGCAGTGAGATCTTTACATTAGCTTTGGAGGAAAGTTATTGTGTTATATATATTTATGGAACAATATAAGTATTTTTAATATTCTATACTTTATCCAAAATTAAATGTAAAACACATGTAGCAATTATCATTTGAACTACTAATCTCTATTTTGAAACAAATGGGTCAACCTTGTATCCAATTTTAGACTAAACAAAAATTACAGATTACTGAACTTAATATTAAGCAATCAGTTGACCACTATAGAATGTAGGTAAATGGCAGCTGTGGCAGTGCAGCAGTAATGTAGCATTCTGCAAAGCTAAGGCCATACCAGCAGGTCCTGGTCTCCCCGTGCATTCTGGGAGGCTGAAGGTGGATTGCAGCATAAAGACTCCTGTTGGAAGTGTCTGTCTGTCTCTTTCTCATGAAAGAAATAAACAAAAATATAATGTAGGTATAGTTTTGTAATGAGCTAATCATGTCAGATTAATTTTTTAAAAAGTTTTTGCCATATGGCGCATGTGCTCACTGGAGAGAGGAAGGGAAAGTGAAAAGTCACCCTCCAGGGGCGATGAACTTGCCACAATCCCTTCTCTTCCATTCTCCTCCTGGGAGACTTTCAAGCCACCAAATCTGGGATTCAAAATATGGTTGGCCATGTGGGAGTTCAGCATCTTAACCACTATACCCCCTGCTGGCCCCCAATTTTTTTTTTTTTTTTTTTTGAGAGGTTTTCGCTATAGGGCACGTGCGCTCGCCAGACAGACAGAGAGAGACAGAGAGACAGAAAGCGAGAAATCACCCCCCAGGGGGGATGGTCATGCCGCAATCCCTTCTCCTCCATTCTGCTCTCGGGATCTTGGGCACGCATGCACATGCGCCCGGCGTGAGTTTTAAGCCACCGGGTCCAGGACGCGAACCGCGGTCGACTACGAGGGAGTCCAGCGACATAGCCATTACGCTAACTGCTGTTTCCCCCAATTCATTTTTAAAATGAAACAAAAAACATTTCTTTATTCTTTCAGTATATATGTTATGTATATAATATATCATATTTATGATATATATAATGCCTTTGATTGAAATTCCTAAATAAAAAGATAGTCTTTATATTTAAAAATTTATAGTCTGACAGAGTGAACACTAAGCAAACGGCCAATTTAAAAAGTTGCAAGGTTGACAATTATGACAATGAGAATAGTGATGATAATAGCAGCTACCTCATACTGAACAATTATTGGGTAAGAAATGTGTTTGCTGAGTATTTATTGCCCAATCATGTCTAGCTTTTTTCAAGTTCTTTTGAGTAAAAATGAGAAATTTTGGTCTAGCCTACGTGGCATAGTCCATGACATACTAGACTGTAATGCTGGAGGCCTCTGACTGATTGTGCGTTCAGGTCCCCATGTCAGCCTGAAAACAAGCTGAGCATGTGCATGGGCATCCGATTTTCTGAGGAGCTAGAGGGCTGGGAAAGGGGGTTATAGTATGGCAAGAACCTATTGAGGGTGCCCTTTCTTTTTCTTTCTGTGTGTGTGCATGCACCCTTTCTGTCATTAAAAAAAAAAAAAAAAGGAAATATTTAATGGTTCACAGAACTAGAAATTATCAAAAGAATGGATAGTAATTCCTATATTTAGACATTTACACTTTTCAACCAGAGAAAAAGAAGCATGACTTAAATACATGAGTGGTTTAATGATTTTTGAACAGGATAAGTTGTAGTTATATTGATGCAGAGAGGATTTTGGCTGTCTCATAGAAGTAATACCACAGCACACTTTTATTATATCACAGTTTTTATAGGTCAAGAGTCTACACTCAGATGAGTTATCTGCTTAACCTCAGCCAGGGCTAGGTCTCATCTGGAATCTTGACTAGGGAATAATCTTCCCCATTTCCATAGCTGCTACAGGATTCACTTTCAATTTTTTTTTTTTTTTTTAATTTGCTATAGGGTGTGGGTATTCACTGGAGAGATACAGAGAGAGAGAGAGATGGAGAGAGGAAAAGTAAGAAAGCACCCTGCCAGGGGGCATGGCATGGCCACATTGCAATCCCTTTTCCCCTTGGAATTTCAGGCACTCATTCACACCTGCCTGTTCAAGCTAGCAAGTCTTTCAAGCCACTGGATCAAACTGCTCAGTTGGCCATATGGGATCCAGCCACTTTAACTGCCATGTTACCTCTGGCCTGGTTTTTTTTTGTTTGTTTGTTTGTTTGTTTTTAAGACACAGATTCTCACCAGTTTGCCCAGACTGGCCTCAAACACAGGAGCCTCCTGCCTCAGCTGGGATTACAGGTGTTTGCCTGGCTAGCCCACAGATAGTTACTTGCCATTGTTGGTAGCTTTAGTTTTTAGCCACTTGTCACCCAGAGGCCAACGGCAATTCACCATGTTGATTCACCAGCCTGGTTACTTGCTTTCTTCAAGTCAGCAAGGGAGACTCTAGTAAGATAAGTGCTATAAAACATGTAACATAATTTGTAATCATAAAAATGTACTCCCAGGTATCCTAGCTCAGATATGTCATCTGCTGATCCCAGTAAAAAGCTTTCTTATTAATTACTTTGTTTCTTAGATTTATTTTGTTTTGTTTTCATGAGCAGTTGAATGTTATTAGTGTTTGGGTTTTAGTTTTTTCTAAATAATAGGATTATTTTGGAAATTTTTTTTTTTTAGAGGTTTTTGCTATAGGGCACGTGCGCTCGCCAGACAAAGAGAGACAGAGAGACAGAAAGCGAGAAATCACCCCCCAGGGAGGATGGCCACACTGCAGGCCCTCCTCCTCTGTTCTCCGCTTGGGATCTTGGGCACGCACACACACACGCCCGGCGTGAGTTTTAAGCCACCAGGTCCAGGACGTGAGCTGCGGTTGACTACATGGGAGTCCAGCGACATAGCCATTACGCTAACTGCTGGCCCCTGTTTTGGAAATTTTTAAAAAGTTTAATTTTCTGGGACCAGCAAAGGGCATAATGGTTATGTCACTGGACTCCCACATAGTCGACCATGGTTTGAGTCCTGGACCTGGCAGCTTAAAACTTATGTCAAGCGCATATGCATGGATGCCCAAAATCCTGAAAGGAGACCGGAGGAGAAGGATTGCAGCATGGCCATCCCTCTGGAAGATGATTTTTCAGTTTCTGTCTCTATGTCTCTCTCTCTCTCTGATGAGCGCATGTACCCTACAGCAAAAATGTCTCTTAAAAAAAAAGTTTGATTTTCTCACTATTGCATTTTTCTCTGCCCCTTCCCTTACTTTGAAAAATCTTAATATATTAGAGATTTTGTAAGAAGCATATCTACATGAAAGAGCTATAAATAAAAATGTTTAATTAGTGAATTTATCTGAGTTGATTAATTGCTTTTAAATTGTAGATGTCATAAGAAGTGGCAGACCCTGGTGGCTGAATGACACATCTACTTTTCCTTCTTCACTGCCAATCAACAACACCCACATCCGCCGCAGACAGAAAAGATCAGTGAGCATTGAGCGGTTTGTGGAGACGTTGGTAGTAGCTGACAAAATGATGGTGGGCTACCATGGCCGCAAAGACATTGAACATTACATTTTGAGTGTGATGAATATTGTAAGTTTGATCCCTCTACATAATATTTTTACTTTGTAGTTCATTGTGTTTCTGACTAAAGTCATGGATTTTTACTGTGAAATAAATGATCTGTTTATACCTATCTAAAATAGTAAAGAATTGAGCTGTTAATGTTTCAGTTCTATTGAACATAAATGTACAGGTGATCTTATTGTTCATTTTTCAAGTAACATGACTTTTTTTAATGGCTTGTTAAAACTTATTTAAGGGGTTTTCTTTAACTTGAAACATCAGCTCGCCTGCCATTTACTGTGTTGTAGTTCGTCTTTTGGAGACAATATTTCTTGAGGTAGACTTGTATAAAAACCTTTCACTGGAACATCCTTTCCCACAAAACAAAATTGGAAATTAAAATAATAAAGACTTAAAAGAAAAGCCTTTTACCGAGGCATTTTGAGGGTAGAGGTCTAAGTGATATGGATGTGTTAAAATAATACCTTTTCATATACACAGTGGCTAAATTCATAAACGTTGTTTTACCACTTTTTTTAAAAGTACCAAACTATTATCCCATGATTTTTGTCTGACTTTGTGTCTTTTCTTATTTTCTGGAGGTCAGGTTGCCAAACTTTACCGTGATTCCAGCCTAGGAAACGTTGTGAATATTATAGTGGCTCGCTTAATTGTTCTCACAGAAGATCAGGTAAGGAAGGATGAGTTAGTTTATAAATCTAAAACTCTTAACAGACAGGCCACAGAATTACTTACCATAAAAGAATATGTCTTATTATTGCTTACCTCAGGAAGTTCTTGTTGAATATGATTTTTAGCTCTAAATATTTAAAATTTTAAGCAAATTTAAAATTTTTTCCAATACCTCTTATGTCATGTTAAGATATATATATATTTATAAGCTGTATATTATATATATATATATAAGCTGTATGTTTCAGTATAAGGATGAAAATTTGCATGGCATACGTTATAAAAATGGTTTTGGTTGGTTTCATATGGTGATAATCTTACATATGTTCACATTGTCATTAAAGCAGGGAACTGGAAAGACTGTTCAATAATACACTAAGTAAACTCTAGGTCAGATATTCCAGAGATAAAAATTGGCAAGAGACTATTCCTAGAAATCACTGCTTCTAATTATAGCCCCACTTTAGTCTTCAAAAGTTTTAACATCTGACCTTAGTAATTTGTTTGGAACATTTCTGGTATGCATGTTGTATTGCAGCCAAACTTGGAGATAAACCACCATGCAGACAAGTCCCTCGATAGCTTCTGTAAATGGCAGAAATCCATTCTCTCTCACCAAAGTGATGGAAACACCATTCCAGAAAATGGGATTGCCCACCACGATAATGCAGTTCTTATTACTAGGTATGGTTTGTTGCAAGTATTTTTCCTTTGATTGTTGTGTTTGTTCAATATTGTAACTATATTTGGTTCTATCTGAAGCCTCACTTAGGTAATGAAAAAGCAAAGTGGCAATATTCCTTACTGTTGGAAAAAAATGTATTACACCATTCTTGTGTTTGCATCAAAGGAACCAAATAACAAAAGGATTAAGATTTGACTTAGAAATTAAAAAAATAATATTCCATATATTGATAAAGCCTATTCATAATATTTAATTGGAAGCACATATATGATTTGTTAATTGAAAAAAATGTATATTAAAAACAAGATTAAAAAAGTATGAGAAAACATGTATTTTAAAATAAAGTCATCACTCTTGGTCATAAAAATCTATTAACTATCCTTATTTCCAAGATGTGTTAAAGAGATCTGTAGCAACACCATTTACTTAAATAATTATTTATTTAATTAAAAATATTTTAATTGAAATATATAAATATCAAGAGCCAGATTAATTTATGCTATGTGTTGAACAACTTGTCTCTCAAGTAAAATTATTACTAATGACAACTGAATGAATTCATGTATTGCTTTGCAATTTTACAAAACTGTAGTTAGATCCATTTTATTCTTTACTGTCCAGTAACAACTCCATGACGTAGACAGCATTTTTATTTTTGTCTTGTTACAAATGAGGAAACTGCTTCAAAGTAGTTAAGTTTCTCAAGATCGCTCAGGTACTGGGTGAAAAACTAGGATTCAAACCTGGTGATCTTATCTTCTTTGAGTATACTATGCTATTTGTTTTTTTTTTTTAATATTCTAATTATGATTAATTAGAAGCATAATGCTTAAATCATTTAATGTAAGTATCCTTTGACTTCTTATTGATATTTAAAAACAAAACACGAAATAAAGTAACAATAAACAATAAGGAAAATGGAAGCATTATTCTCTTGGCTAAGTGAAATAGCTTTTGTTGTCGTCATTTTTTTAATTTGTAAGTCAATATTTAAGATACTCTTCATCTGTGGTGTGCCCATTGAGTCTACATTAAACGGTGTAGTAGGATTATAAAGTATATGAGTTCAAATCTTGAGATTCAAAAAAAGTATAATTTTAGCTTTTAGAAAAAATTTTCTGTTAACTACATTATAGAATGAAGGTTTCCGAGTTTTTAAAAATTAAATATAGTTATATTTACTTTAATGTAGGTCATGTACCTGGAATCATAAACCAGAAAATTCTATTTATGAAAGACATGATAGCTGAATAAAAACATCTTCTAGTTCTATATTCATATGCGTTGACACATCGGTCTGATAAATTCTGCAATTCCTTAGAATCTTGTGGTCTGGAATAGTCTCAAATATACTCAGGGAATTAAAATATACTAGGAATTATACAAATGTAGAAACCTTGTGTAAAAGAATGTGAATATGATTAGAATTAATGACATTATTAGAGGAAAATGTCTAGTATATATGATTAACAAAATGATCACAGGCATTTCCATGGCTTCCATATTTATATTTGTAAAGAAAACTCTTCCTCCTCTGAAAAATGTAAGGCACAGTGACTCCTATTACCACATACTGGATTTTTTCTTTTGCATGAAATGAAAGAAGTTATATCAAGAAAGCACATTTGTAAGTGCTCAAGTACTGAAAGACAATAAAACTGAACGGTTAACCACCCTTTCTTTGCACTGGCCACAACATTCAGCTGTTCGATGTGATACACGGAATTGACCCAGATATTTTTATTGTCCTCTGCAGAGCTCTTCTTGTCTTCTGTAACTACTTTGAGTGCCATTTTGATGTCTGGGATTTGAATATAAAATTTTGTTTTTAAACTTGTCTCCTAATGATCAGACTAGTTCTAGACATAATCTCAGGATTTAATAGAAAAGTAGTTTAAAGAGTTCATATCTGTTATCATTTTTTTTTTTTTGAGAGAGTTTCACTGTAGGGCGCGTGCGCTTGCCAGACAGACAGAAAGAGACAGAGAAACAGAAAGCGAGAAATCACCCCCCAGGGGGGATGGTCACGCCGCAATCCCTTCTCCTCCATTCTCCTCTCAGGATCTTGGGCACGCACGCACACGCGCCCGGCGTGAGTTTTAAGCCACCGGGTCCGGGACACGAACCGCGGTCGACTACGTGGGAGTCCAGCGACATAGCCATTACGCTAACTGCTGGTTCCCTATCTGTTATCATTTTAGATTGGCTAATGTAGTAGAGGTTAGAAAAATATCTCTTTGGGGCAGTATAGAATACCTTTTTTTTTTCAAAAAAGAATTATTTATTTAATTGTATTTATTATTGTTATTATTATTTAATTTGTTATAGGGCACGTGTACTAGCCAGAGAAAGAGAGAGAAAATAAGAAAGCAATCCACCGGGTCTGGGACTTGAACAACAGCTGGTTATGTGGGAGTCTAGCACCTTAACCACCTGCTGGCCCCTAGAATACTTGTTAGAATTGTTATTGAAGACTCAGAGTAACTTCTAGTTTATTTAAATGTCTGCAATTATCTTCTAATTATGAGGTCCCCAGGGTGAGTTATTAAATGAGATCATTACTATTTAGATACAGTTATTTTGGGAGATAGGACAGAAGAATTGCCTATGTTTGACATTCCCTTATACATTTTTGATTTGTAAAATTGAACAGATGTTTAAATTATACTGTTACTTTTAATAAACATACTTCTATGAATTTTACAAATGATTTTATATTAATGCTGAAAATTGCTTTATATAATTTACTTATTAACATGTTAAGTGTTATGATCCCATTATTTATAGGTAGGATCATAATTTATATTCACTTGGGAATATATTCACTCTCTCTGGGGAAAATGTATAATGTGCTTAGGAAAACTGATGGCTATGTGTGTTTCTACTAGGACAGATTATGTCCCAGGGACTTAAATATTTTAAGCAAAAAAAATTTGGAATTGTAGTTACTTAGGTTACAATAGTTACTTTTAAAATCTCAAAATGTTATCTCCCCTTAGCAAATGATATCTTAATGTTTTATTTTACTGATTCAAATTTAAAACAAATTGTGTTGTGCAAAGATACCAGAGTAAACAGAAAAAAAATAAATTCAAAATGTTGTTGTATCTGACATTAGAAGTAGTGACCATCAACAAACATATTAAAATTATTGATATATATATAGTTTTAATTTAATATAAACATGCATGTATTTTATATGTAACTATATGCATGCATATATATATACACTATATTACATATAGCAACTATTAATAATAGTTAATAGTGTATAATATCTTAAATATCTGTTATAACCACCTGGATTTATCAAATCTTAACAGTGTGCCGTACCAAAGAGCAAGTTCCTGTCACTTTCTAAAATGAGGATCCGTTATTTCTCTGTGGTGTATCAACTACCTGACATTTTTATCTCTGAATATCAAAGTTAGTGTATAGTGTATAATGTATATATTTATGGAAATATAGTATTTACATATATTAAATTATATTCCATATATTGTAAATGATGACACCAATCTTTCATTGTCATGGTGTTTTTCATCAAAACATCAATATTAGTAAATAACCTGTATTACTTGCTTTCATAGACTAAATCTGTTAGAATTTTTTGACAATCACTAATGTTCACCTAAATCAGCTTGATGTTTAGTAACTCTTTAAATGGTGGACTATGACACTATATAAGTACATCAAGAAATGATTAACATGTTGTACTTGGAACTCTAGAAATAGAATTTTAAGAAGGCAATACAGACCTTTACCTATTGATTAAAAGGTTAAATTGCCACACAACTTTCAAATTATTAAACTTTGTATTATTTTTGTTGTTGTTTTAATTATTTATTTTAAAAATTGACTAGAGAAATCATATTTATGGTATATAACATGATAGTTTTGGTGCATTGTGAAATGACTGAATTGAGCATTAGCTTGATATGTGTTACCTCACATACTTTATTAAACTTTGTATTGACAAACTGCAAATTAACAGCTACTTAGGAATGAAAACCTGCAATTTGACAGATTATTTAAGTCATTTTTATTTCCACATGAATCAGGAAATATCCACCACAAGTTTAAAGTCAAGCCAACTTCTAAGTTTATTTTTTGGCAAAATATTCAAGAAACACATTTGTAGTCTGAATTCAGTAGGAATTCAGTGAAATAGAGTATACTTGCATCAATGTTTAACAATTAGCATGAATAGACTAATGCATACATTTCTTAGCTTTCTCTCCTGTTAAATATTGGACTCATGTTTTTCCAGTTTTAAAATATTAAGACATAGTAGTTTATATGTTTAGGGTAAGAATTATAGCCTAAGTTCCTTTTAGGTAACAGCTTCGTTGACCCATAATTCACTGATCATATGATGGCACTTTGAAAAGTTTGTGGAAAATGTGTATTATGAAAAAACTATGTATGAATTTCAGAATTTTTTGCATTAAAATAAACTTGTACATTTAATACCATTTTTCATGGACTTTTTGAAGTGACCTTATAAAATTTACTCATTTAAAATGTACAATTCAGTGTTTTTTTAGTGCAATCACAGGGTTCTATAACCACCATTATCATCAATTTTAGAACATTTCATCACTCCCAAGGATGTTATCCTCATTCCCTTCATTCCCTTCTTCCCTTCACTTTAGACCCAGGCAACTGCTAATCTGATTTCTGTCTGGATAGATTTGCCTATACATATAAATGGAATCAGACAATATGTGGTCTTTTGTGACTTGCTTTTACTTAGCATGTTTTCAAGGTTTATCCTTGTTGTAGTGTGTATCAGTATTTGATTCTTCTTATTAGCCTACATTCTTGAAATTTTAAGGTACCTGTTTATAGGCTATTCTCCCATTATTGTACTTTTACAATTTTTCATTAGTGAAAAGCACAGGACTGGTAAATACATCTCAAAACACAAATGCAAAAATTAAACACTAAGTCGAATAATTTAGTATTTAATTAAAATGGGCATATTTATCCTCTTAAG